CCCGGCGGTCGCCCCCCTTCCACAACGGCAGCTGGGTCCACCTCACGGTCAACGGTGAGCCGGGGGCGCCGGGGGGGCTGCGGCATCGCCAAGGGGGGCCACGGCATCGCCAAGGGGCTGCGTGCCCGTGCTGGTGCCCAGACAGGTTTCCCTTTGATTTCTGATGGATGCTGGACCTTGATGGTATCTGCGCCTGGCAGACAAGCTGAGCCTGAGGCCATCCAGGCTGACTGCTCCAGCTGGGGCGTGACTTAAAAAGGGACAAAGTTTTATTAGGGATTCTGCAGTTTAATTATGCGGAGCTTGTTTAAAGGAGAGACATCAAGAAACGGGGCTGGGAACGAATCTCCTCTTAACAAACAGATCAGAAAATCAAATCTTTGCTTTCTTGAAATTCAGATTTACTCAAATTACTTTTTCATTTTATTAAGGCTGCATATTAAGCTAATTAGCAACTTGTCGGTCTCCGTGTCGGGAGAGGTCTTTATTTTTAGCCCAGCAGCAGGGCTGTGCCTCTCCCGCTGCAGTGGGGTGGCTGGAGAGGGGCTGTGGGCTCCGGCAGCTCCTCGCTGGTCTTGCCTGACCTTGAGCAATTAATTTCACCTTTCGGGGAGATGGCTGGGCTGCGGCAAGGAGCAGAGCCACCTAATTGAGCCCAATTAGCGAGCAGGAGCTTTGCAAGCGGGGCCGCGCAGCGCACCGGCCCCATCCCTGCCTGCTGCCCTGCCTTCTTGCTGCCTCCTTTCCCCCTGCCTGCAAAAAAGCGGGGTGAGATGCTGCCAGGTTTCCCGGTGAGGCTGCCCTCCTTCTGCCTGATAATGAGCTCAGAGGGCCTGGGAAGGAGGGTGAGAGGAGGAGGATGGTGCCTGCTTCACCTCCACCCCGTGCTCGGATCCTGCCCGAGGGGCTGGAAGTGCCATCGCTGCCCCAGGTGCCCTGTCCCCCTCCCCGGGCTCGGCTCCCCCCTTGCAAAACGGGGTGCTTTTTGGGTTTCGGGCAGCGTGAGGCACACAGGGGCTTAATAGCAAAATAATAACCGTAATCCTCTGGCCCGAGGAATTGCTTTTAGGGGGAAGGCTGTGGCTTTCCCCCAGCGCATTACAACGCTTAATTTTCTTAGGGGAAAATAAAAATCATTTGGGGAGAAACAAGATATAATTCTTTTTTTTCCCCGAGCAGATTAAATTGCCAACCTGTCTTCCTCGAAAGTGGGCTTTAACAACCGCTGGTAATTAGGGGCGGGCTGTAATCCTGCCAGCCTCTTTAATCAGGAAAGAGCCTTTCGATCTGCACTGCGGTGTTTTCCCATGTTTTGACAATAGCGAGTTAATGTGCAATGGGGTGGTGGTGGTGGGGGGAGGAGGTGGTGCCATGCCCTGGAGCTGGCAGGGAGAGCAGAGGGGACAGGGCTGGGGTGCAGCGTGGCGTGGAGGGGATGCTGTCGGCGGGTGTCCCCGGGGACAGCTGCTGTGACAGCCACTGTCAGCCCCCTTTGCCTTTGGGGTGATCCCAGCCCTGCCACGGGGATGTGCGGCGTGTCCCCCGTTTGCAGGCGGCAGCCTCCCCACAGTCCCTGTGCCCCCCAGACCCACAGCGGCCACGGGTGAAACAGGGGGGTCACGGTGGTCTCCCCCTGCCCCGCAGCTCCCCCCACGTTCACCGAGACGCCGCCGCAGTACGTAGAGGCGAAGGAAGGAAGCAGCGTCACCTTGACCTGCATGGCGTTTGGGAACCCCAAGCCCATCGTCACCTGGCTGAAGGAGGGAGACCTTTTGGGTCCCAACGGCAAGTACCAGGTAGGTGGGTGACACAGGTGCTGCTGCGGGGGCTCCTGGATGGC